GGTACCACTGACGCCATTCATACTGTACGAATGGTGATGGAGAAATCTAGAGACAAAAGAAAGCTACATGCGGCATTCCTGGATGTGGAGAAATCTCTTGACAAGATATCCCATGATATCATATGTGGCACTGCGAAAGCACATGGTTTTCAGAAGTATACAGCCAAGGGATAAAAATGATTTATTACGGAAAAATGAGTCTGTGCAAACTGCGGCAGAACAATGAAACTATTCCGCAAAAGACCGGAATACATCAGGATTCGTTGCTCTCTCCTCAACTCTTCATCACTATCATGGACGCAACGACGGAAGGTTTAAAGCGACAACCTCCATGGGCTCTCCTGTATGCGGATGATGTGATGTTAATGGCGGAAAACAGAAAAGAATGTGAACAAGAGGTGCAGAGATAGAAGGACCAATTAGAGTCGTACGGCTTATAGCTCAGGAAAGAGTATGTGGAAGTGGGAAGTCAAACATCAGAAACCATATACATCGTGAGGATTCAACAAGAAAAAAAGCACTTCAAGTACCTAGGTGGCATCTTTGACGAAAGGAGTTCAGAGCTATCTGCCAGCATAAACACAGGCTGGATGAAATGAAGATCCTTCACAGATGTTCTATGTGACAAGCGAATGCCAGTGCAAATTAGTCATACATATACCGTACTGTGTTGCCTTCAACAGCGCTGGGTAGTGAATGCTGGCCAACAGCACAAAATGAAGAACACAAGCTTAATGCCATGGAGATGAGAATATTGCGATGGACGTTGAGTATTACCTTGCACAACCATATCCGTATTGACACATTTCGTGTTAGGATGAAAGTTGCTCCCATTGCCAAGAAGATGAAGGAAAAACGACTGCGATGGTGCGGGCATGTGAGTAGAAGGATTGAGACCCACATTATAAGAGTGGCACTGTCTCAAAGGTCGCTGAAAAATAACCGCGGGAAAGGCCAAAGATGGGTGGTTGGACAGAAACAGAGCCAACTTGAGAGAGCTTAGAAAAAACACACATCATGCCTTGATTCGAGGCTGGAGACAGCTGACTCACACAGTAGAACCTGCGTAACCGGGATAATGCGGAGGTAAAAAAAGAACTGATATGGTAATTGCCACGGTCTCCTCTTCCGGTCAATTTTTGGATTCTTGCTGTTATCCAAAACGCCCGCAAAGTTTCAAAGTTTGTTTGCATGGCGTTTTACACGAAGGCTACTTAAGGGTGTGGAAGCTTTGCATTGAAATGAATTCCATTTCTTCTATGTGTTTGCTTTCGCAATAAACATGTGATTAGATGAATTACTCCTAACATCATATAATCACCTTCTATGCTAAACG